CACGATCTAGCCATACAGCATCTGTCTTATCAAATGGAAAAGTATTGGTTACTGGTGGAACCACTAATGGTAGTTATCTAAATAGTGCCGAGCTGTATTGATTGATATTCACAAAGGGACATTTTCCTTTTCAGTTTAAAATATAATCCTTAATCTTTCTTCAAATTATTTAATCATACGCATATATCTATAAAATTATAATTAATTTAATAAAATACAAAGGATCTGGAACCTGTAACAGCACAGATTAATCGATTGTTTCATATTTACTGTTCAGTCTTCTATTCTCATATGAACACAGCGATATAATTTGAAGAGCTAATATTAGGTTGGCCAAAAAGTTCTGCAACACTTGCAAAAAACTTGATTTTCATGCACATTTTGTTGTTTTTGTTTTTATCGTGCTTCAGATTCATCTTTATTCTCAAAGTTTTAGATGACATTGGACAAAATCGAGCTTCGAGTCTTGATGCGTTATTGTTGGAAGCGACAACTTTCGACAAGAGATGCTGAAGGCGAAGGAATCGTCCACTACACAACTGTTTCCCGATGGTACAAACGATTCGATTCCTGTGACTTTAGTCTTGAAGATCAACCACGTTCCGGCCGACCATCAGTCTTGGACAATGAAGATCTGCGAGCAGGCTTGGAAGATGAGCCTTCATCGAACAGCCATGAATTAGTGTCGGTTCTTGGAGTCTCCTCCCATCAGACTGTGCTCAATCACCTGCATCAAATGGATTTTACGCACAAAAAGCCTCTCCAGGATCCACACGAGTTGACCGAAGCGCAAGCCAAACCTCGTATTGAAGTCTGTAGTCAGTTGTTGAAAAATCTATTGAATGATCGGTTTTGGAAGCGTATAGTGACTTCGGATGAAAAATGAGTCTACCTGGTTAACCACAACCGGCAGAAACGGTGGGTTCCGTGTCCAGATTGTTTGACGAACTGGAGGAAGTCGAGGTCTTGCCGCATCCAGCCTACAGTCCCGACGCTGCCCCATCCGATTATGGTCTCTTTCGATCAATGGAGCACTTTCACCGTGGTCGCCGATTCGAATCGTTTGATCAAGTTGAAGAAGCGTGCCAGGAATTCTTCGATTCGAAGCCGGCAGAATGGTACTTCAATCAAATCCGAATGCTTGCAGATCGGTGGCAGAAGAATGTTGAAAACGATGGCCTTTATTTTGAACAGTAGTTATTATTGTTTTTAAATAAATCGGCGCATAAGAATAAACTTTTTCGCAAGTGTTGCAGAACTTTTTGGCCAACCTAATAATGCACTGACGGTGCATCGATACTCATGTAAAAGTGCAACAACATTCAGCAGCACTTTTTTACTCTGACGCCAAAAGCAGCGTCAAACAACAGTTTGACGACGTTGCAGAGGGGTTTTCTTGTGCGCTTTCACTATTTTCTTCCATATCGAAGGACAACCATTTCACGGAAATTCGGATGTCCACAAGTGGTCCATCAATAAGCCCAATCACTCACAAGAATTCCCTAAGGGTGGGTGAGGGTGTGGGTGGGTGTGGGTCAGAGTTTGAAAATAGAATTAAAAAGAAACTTTAATTATTATGAGATTCAAAATAGAAGGCAGCTTGCTATCTTTCGAATAAGTCTTCATAGGAATGAGATAGAGAGCTGCGGTTTCCACCAATCGAAAGAAGCGACTCTGGGCCATCTTTTCTCTTAACATCAAATCAGACACAACCAGCTGAAAAATAACCATTACTGAAAAATATTGAAACATGTATGAAAACAGTCTGCCGTTCCGATGAAGTTTTGATTTTGATTTGAGATTAACATAGGTGAACTTCAAATCTACAGTTTAAAATATAATTCGAATGATTATCTTTACATATTGCAGTGATAAAAGAATCAAATTCTCTATTCCTTCCCTTAAAATATATGAATTTCTCGTCATTTTTTACTGAATTTTCTTATTTTTTGTCAAAACTTCATCTCAACATCATATCATTTTGCTGCATTTTTTCGATGTTTCGCAGAAACGTTTGGTTTTGATATAATTTTGTCTAATATAATATTGGAGGAAAAAATGGCCTCGAGCTGTCTCTATCGACTGGTGAAAACCGCAACTCTCTATCCCATTCCTATGACGACTTATTCGAAACATAGCAACCTGCCTTCTATTTTGAATTGCGCAATAGATGATTTTTCCGATTTTAATTTGTTGTCTAGTAGGATACCTACAACTTTAGATCAAGAGTTCAGTTTGAATGTGTGAGTGTGGTGAATTTATGAATGTTTTTTTCGTCATACACATTCAAAACTCATTTTATTTTTTATAAAAAAATATTTTTATACTTCTCAGGATTCTTTCATTATTTTTCAACAAAATCCATAAAAAAGAAGTAGTATGAGTTTTTTTGTTTTCGCACAATATTTCGTCATAGATTAGAAAAAAGAATTATACACTTATTCTGTTGCCACATCATGGTAAAAGTTCTTACTCCTCTTCACAATTGTTTTTATTAATTTCTTTTTCAGAAACCACACCAGTGCCTCCATGTCTACCTGTTTCTGTTGGTTCTTCAAGTGTTCTCCATAGTGCAACGACTGGACCCACCACTTATACATGCCATGCTTTTCAATGAACAGCTCCAAACACTAGTCCGGCTAGCCTTGCCTTCGAATTTCGCAATGATCCTTCGTCTTGGTATGTTGATGATGTATCGATCTATCATGGAGCTACTCAGATATTACTAAATGGTGATCTCGAGTCAGGCAGTCTCGCTCCTGGTTGGGAAAGATTTCAAGCAATGAACTTTAGTTGTGAAATTTATCCAGATCAAGTAACCAGTAACATGTCTCGCACTGGCACTTATAGCATTCGAGATGGGGCCAGCGGTTGCACTGATAAAATCAATCAATCGTTCATGGTTACCGCTGGTGATATTTATATTGTCAGTTATTGGATCAAGACAAATGCATGAGGAACAGTTCAATCTATTTCTGTTAGTCTCTCATAATCTATACAACCAGACATCATGCCTGAAATTGTTTTTATTCATAAAGAAATACAAACAAATAAAACTATCATTCTTGAGGGTGAGGGTGTGGGTGTGGGTGTGGGTGTGGGTGTGGGTGTGGGTGTGGGTG